TTCTTTCTTTTCTTTCTTTTCTTTCTTTTCTTTCTTTTCTTTCTTTTCTTTCTTTTCTTTCTTTCATTCATTCTTTTCTTTCCCTTCTCCGTACTCTTCCTCTTCTCTTTTCCATTCCTCACCATACAAATTCTACAGTACGATGCTTTTTTGAAGCTTCGTAACATTTACAAATTATGTTTTCCATTACCACAACACCACCAGCTAAATTAACCTTCCCCACATTTTAAAAACAAGTTTGCATTTATAATTTTCAAAAATTCAGAGATTTTCATTAACAATATTTAAAGAACAGATTTCATTAAGGGAAAATGCGTACCATCAATATTGATTTTGCAATGTTAATTCCTTTTTTCAATTTTTGAAAGAGTGATAGCCGAAAATAGGATCTGTTCCATTTTAAATCATTTGTTCTGTTTGTCAAAAAAAATAAGAAAAAAATTTGGAGCCATTTTTGAAACAAACGTTTTTTTTTATAAATTGCATTTATTTCAAGCACACATATATGAAAACTTTTTTAATGTACATGAACTTTGAAGAAAGAATTTTTTAGAACAGATATCATTTAAGAAAATATCTATCATTAATGTTGCAAATCAATTTTTCAATTTTTTAAAACAAATAGAGTTCGCCATAAGTGGGTCTTTGGAAATCTTTAATGTGTCTAAGTCTTCAAGGTAAAAAAATTAAAAATAAATGGAACCACTTTTGAGAAAATAATTCTAGCCACTATTATAGAAAACAACTCATATTTTTTTAAACTTGTATATGACCTTAAATGAAGTCGTAGGCTTCCGCGGCCAGAGTTATGTGCGTGATCTTGGCTGTCCGGGTGACACCGCGTCGAAGGCTGTCTTGCCGACGTTTCGACCATCTTGTCGTGGTCTTCCTCTTTCTTCGTCCCCCTTAGTATCGCTTCGTCCCCTCGTCCTCCTTAGCATACCAGCCCTGAGGAAGACCACGACAAGATGGTCGAAACGTCCGCAACACAATCTTCGACCCCGCGTCACCCGGACAGTCAAGATCGCGCACATTGTATATTACCTTATTTCTAGATTCTGAACTGCAGAATTCATTAAGAAAAACACTCCATTTTCAATATTGAAGTTGTAGAAAAATACCAAAAACATTGTTAACTTTTGCAGTATCCAAACATTTATGAATTTTTGCAGAAATGAGACCTACATCACACTTTTAAGCATCCTTTATATTATGTAAGGACAAATTTCAATAAAAGAATTTGGACCCGCATTTTTGAAAATTTTAAAAATATTCATGTAAAATGCCCCTATATTAAAAATATTAATTTTAAACTCACACAGCCTGAAGTTTGTTCAGATTGATAGTGAAATCAATTTTGAAGTAAATTATCTCAAGGGTTTAGATAATAATGTTGACCATGGACAAATGGACATTTTGCTGTTAATCAATTTTTTGGTATTAAATACTCACGAAATATGGATTCTAACTACACAGTGTATTACAAGGAAATAATTTAAGAATAAGAATTATCCACATTTCCTTTACCAGTGCCTGAGATAAGAATAAGATATTTTTTCCCTTGCTTTCTTTCTGTCTGATTGTGGACTATGTACTTGGTGTGTGCTTCTCCTGCATTATATCCAATGTTGCTGTTCTCAGGTGCATCTGTGTTTGGTCTTGACTCTGCAGACATCACGTCAACAACAACTGGGCTAGACTCGGTTCTGGACGGCCACACGGAAAACAACTCGAGCGAGGATGACCTGAGCACTGCCATTGATGCTACCGACGCACACGCCATCCGCAAACAGCTTGAGGGACTGGAACACATGTACTCCGAGGTGCGCCTCTCCTTCTCCCACCACTTAAATTCACTCCACCCCAGTGGCGGATCGTGCACTTTTATTTTATTTTATTTATTTATGGAATAATCTCATATATAAAAAGTTAATACAGAACAAAGTATAACCAAAAATCAATAAAATGAGTTTCACAATAATGACAAAGTAATAGATTATTCCTTACTGTAATTTTTATTAAACAATTTTAAGTAATGTGCTGTGTAGAAGGTCTATAAATTCAATATTAATTTCAGAGACTTCTTGAATTTGAGTGTTATTATTCAAGAAGTCAATATCATTTTGTAATTTGATTGGCCATATGTAAAAGTGTTGAATACATTATAACAAGTGTTCTACAGTTAGATTTATAAAAAGGTTGGTGAAATCTGTGTTTACATTGCAGAGCATAAAGTCGCACTTCAGAAAGAATATTTGGACAGCTGATATTCCCAGATATAATGAAGTGCAGAAAGATGAGGTCGTACAGTCTTCTAGTTGATAACAAAGGGTTATTCTTTTATGCCTGATATTCTCAGAGTTGTGATCTAGTCTTGATATAGAATTGTTGTCAATAAATGGTAAATGTAACAAAAATATTTTTGGACATATTCGGACCCTTTCGACCCTTGTGGATAAAGCCTCAGAATAGAGTGACCAAACTACCATTGCATATTCTAAAACAAACCTCACATGTGCAAAAAATAGTAATTTCAAACTGTGGATAATCTCAAAATTTTCATGATTCTTACCAGGAAACCCAACATTTTCTTAGCTTTCTTGTATATCAGTTCAATGTGCAAATTGAAATCTAAACAAGCATCTCACCACAACACACAATTTTCTTAGTCAAGCACAGGGCCATTAGAACCTTACTTGCACTAGTTGCATAGATCGTGCCTCAGGTCACACCAGCAGCTGACACAAAATTGCCTGATAGGCTTTGTAAAAATCGTGTCTTGCATATATTCTGTCATTTTTCAGTGCTTCTGAAACCTTTTTCCTACAGTCTTGTTGTGGTGGTTCATGAATTAGCTTGCTATGCAACAATTCCCACAGAGAAGAAATGGTAACATAAATTTTGCACCTCCGTACAAGCAATGCATTATGCACAGTGCTACATATTTTGTATCCCACTGACAGAAAGAGTAGAGAGGAGAAAAGCTAAGGAATCAGTCACATTAACTACTTCAAATTAATTATTTAACAAATTAGATTACAAGCATTTTCTTGTGATAGGATAATTATAAAAGATCTATCATTTCAATTTGCTTGTTCACACAAGCTTCTCCCAATTCGTGTTGTGAGAATTAAGTGTGTTAATTAAAGGTTTTTTTTTTTTTTTTTACAACAAAGCATTATGGTATATTTTCAATTTACACTGGTGTCACAGAATGTTTGCCTTAAAATAACTTTTAAAACTTTTATAAAAATAAAAGGAATACTTTTGATCTATTTTGTAATTTAAAAGAATTTGCTAGTAGTAAAATTGATTCAAAACAATTGAAACTACTTATGTGGGAATAATGAAAGAAGAATAGATTTAATTGTATTGCCTGTAGGAGTTACAATATTATATGATAGCAGATTATGTTGCCTACATAATGTTTCCTCTCAGCAGATTCTATGTCTTCTTTTTTTTCCCCAGCTGATCATGTTTTTCATGTTCTTAGTAAGATGTGAATATGATTACAGAACTAGAGAGAAAGTGGAAGGGAAGACTGAAATTTCTGTTTGAGCATTCAATCTCTTGTTAAAAACATTTGAGTAAACTTTTAGTCAGCACGTTTTACTTTTTGAAATTAGTTAAATTTGAAGACTGAAATTTCTTATTGATTTAATTAAGGAATTATACAACATCTTGAGTCTCCAAATGCCTAAATTCTGTAGTTTGGCTTTTAACAAGTCCCAATTATATTATTTATTTAAAACGTACTTACTTATTATTTACATACAACAATATTTTCTTAAAAATTAATCTATGGAAGAATTAAGTTATGTTTTAAATCAGTCATGTTCTGATTCATATTGGCATAAGTCCAAAATTCATTATGGTAGAAAATGGTGCTTCAAAGGTATGCAGCTCAACTGCTTCATCAAATCAAGGAGTTCATTGAAGTCTTAAATTGTAACAAATTACATTTAGATGACCTTTAGTGGACTTATCTCAAAAAAATTTTTTTTTTTTTAATTGTTTCCCTGATACAATTCTCAGTAGGTGATATTTTGTTGCAAATTTCTGTTGTGACATTCATGATTTTGTGTTTGATTTTGAACGTGGCTGCCACAGGTGTTGAAGCTGTTGGGAGTAAAACGGTACGGCATGGCTGGTGGAGGCAGGTACCAGCCCTCGGATCCCCGAATCAGCAAGCGCCGCCTCTATGGCAGCATGTCCTCCTTGCCATCGTCTGTCAGTTCTCGGCCTCTACGAGAGAAGCGCCGGCAGGACGAGCGCAAGAAGGTCAAGGACATGAAGGTATTGTCTCGGAACTCTGACTTACCAAAAGTTAAGAATTATGAATATGATGTGAATAAACTTTACTTGACATTCTGGTGTTTTTAATTTTATTTTTTAATAGCTTAAACGTCAGACTGACGAGCCTAAAATACACAAAAATAAATACAGAGTAAACCACTGTTTTTACATTACTAGACAAGGAAAAAAGGTTTTTATAAAGAATACATTATTTCATAGAATTCACTATTTAAGTATACTCATTTAACTGTATCTTTGCAAAACAATGTTTGAGGATAAATCTATATTATTAATTTGTTCATTTGTTATTCTTGCAAATCGAGGTATCGCACATGAGTATAGAAATTGACTTTTACTTCCAAATTATTTTACTTCTCCCATAGCTCTAACATTCAATCTATTGTCTCATTCCTCGAATATATTCCTCAGTTCAAAGCTGATAATTTTAGATGATAAAAGTTTATGCATCAAAATAAAATCATTAACTTATCAATATGATTTCAATGAAGGTACATTTAAATGTTACAATATAATTAAAAATCATGATTATATTTCTTAATTATTATTACATCTTATTTTTGTTATTGATATTATGTGTTGTTGTTGTTATTATTATTATTATTATTATTATTATTATTATTATTATTATTATTATTATAATTTAAAAATTCAATAATTTGCACACAAATCAATTAAAAAATTGTTTTGTTATGTACAGAGCTTTTGTAAATATTTTTCCATCAAGACATTATCTACTGAATAGCTTCTGGAAATTCAGAATTATTTTACTTCACTTAAAGATTCATTGAATAAATGATGGAGTTGTACATGTAACATGTGGTACCAATTGTTCTTACACTTTTGCACTTAAGTAATGTAAGACTATGAGTCAAACATTTCTTTGATCATCATTTTTGGTTGAGAAAATACATTTTTGTGTGTGTGTGTGCAGGGTATAAACAAGAGATTTCAGCGCCTGGAGTCTCATGTGGTAACACTGGCTCGCAGTGTGGCGCACCTGTCGTCCGAGATGCGTACCCAGCACTTAATGATCCAGGTGAGTGCATGACCCATGATACATGAGGTGTGGTCAGAGTGATCAATTCCTGGCAGGGTTGGGCAGTATTTGAAAAATTGTATTGTTGAGGTTTTTGGATGCGTATTTTGGAGAAGTATTTAAATACATAAAATAATGTTTATAAAAAAAATTTAAAAAAATACTTTAAATACAGATGAAGAAGATAAATGGAATAGTTTCTTTTTGTTTGATGACTCCAGTGAATTTACCTCATTGAGTCAAAAGTATAAGCTCCTTTCAACTGATGAATTCTCTTAATTTTTAAATGATAAATCTAAACAATTAAAAATGCTATACATTTATCCAATAATTTAGAAAAACGAGTTAAATCTTTCTAATGCTAATTTATGTTCATATGCACCAGTTGCACCTGTTTTCCTATGCAGGTTTTATACTTTCACTGACTAGAGATTTATTACCTGATGATTTGTTTCAAAAATTACTCATTATAAAAAGAAATTCTGTTTATTTGTATTAGACATTTTTTTATATCATTTTATATTTGAATATGTGTACATGTCTGTCCATTAAAATTCATTATTGTTTAGAAATTTGTAGGATTGTATTACTAATTTATTGTAATTGACAATTGCAATACATTGTTTAAATAAAAACAATACAAAATATAATACAAATATAATACAAAATTATTATATTTACTGTATTTTGAGTATTTGAAGTATTTTAAATATGTATATATTTAGCGAATCAAAATCGAATGTATCTTGACTACATATATACTTATTTACAAAGTATTTTGGTGAAGTATTTAAATAATTAATTTAAAGTATTTTGCCCAACCCTGATTGCTGAAATAACAGCATATAAACATATAGGTTGCTGTGGATTTATCAAAATATATTCTTATTATCTTTAATTTCGCCTTAAATATCTTAAATAAAAATAATTAAAAAAAGGTTTTGCACTTTTGCAATGCATCTCTAAGCCGCCTTTTGGGACATTGAGCGAATGGAGTAATGAAGTAATCCTCCTACTGTAATCTATAACAAAGTAATTTGTCATGAGAGTGTGCAGTTGCATTTGCTGCTAGATGATTGCTTGGCAAGCTCAAGCTTTCATGCTTCATCATGCTTGGATATTCGGGATATCCGTCATCATACTTTGAATATTTGTAGGTTGTTCATGTTAAAATGTCATCTTCAAAATTGAATTAACATTACTGTATCAGGCAGGGTGAGGTAGGACATCAAGGTGGGGCAAAATAATTCCTTTTCTTATTATTGCATTGTACAAAATTAATTTCTCCATTCATAAGTTACTTTTAGGAAAGTCATGTGTTAAAAGGTCAAAAGTTTTTTCAGTCAATGAAAAGAAATATTTCCTCTATAAGAATAGTTGGGTTTTCAAAGAAGTGAAATTCCCCAGTGATAGGGCCCTAATAGAAATCAAGTCAAAAGAAATAAATTAGAAATATTTTACCAGAGAGATAAAGACCAGGCTCTCCTCCCCATGTTGTTAACACCAAAAATCTATTTTATTATATTGTATTCTAAGAACTTGTTAGTACTTCACATCTCTCTGCATAATTTTGAAAATTGTTTTGTTCTACTTACTTGTCCCATTGTTAATCAATCTGCATTTTAAACCCATAATGTAAATCTGATTATACCCCAATTAGACTTCCATTGTCTTTCCTCAGAGGAAACATTTCTGGAGAAGTTTTGACACTTATGCAACTAAAGAGAGATGTAAACTCTTGAAAACAAAAATCCACAGATTTGCCAGTATGTTGTAACTCAAATGTAGTTTGTTGTTTAAGTTGAATTTAGTAGATTAAAGTAATTAAAATGATTTAATAAAAAATATCTTTAACAGTAGTTAGCATCACTAGTCCTTATCTACGCTTCCCATAACTTCATAACTTGAGGTCTCCTCTATTAATGGTCAATTTTTGCCGGAACCTTTAGTGACTTTTTAAGCCAGGTTTCATTGCAAATTAGTAAACTGAATATTGACATCTACTCTGATAAAAATTGTCTAAATAAAATGAAAAAACTCTTGTTAAATGACTTCTGTGCGTGTTAGACACGTGCGTGCATGCATGCTGCTTTTTTGATATACTATAGTATTATATTGTCTACAATGTGTATTGTAATATGAATTATTGGGCAATTGCTTTTTAAAATAAATTAGTAAATAAATAAATTTTAACATTAAATAATTTGTTTATATATATTGTATCATTTGACATGTAATCTATTGATTCTTTCCAATGGCAATGATGCATTTTCCTTCCAGGAAATGGAGAACATTCGTAGCGAGATCTCTGCCCTGCGTACGCAGACTCTGGCAGTGCGCTCCCAGTCCATGCCACGGGGCCTCAACGCAGTGGGAGCTCCACTCTCCACAGCATCTGGAGGGCTGGGGCCCAGTGGGTTGGCAGGTGGCGATGGCGCAGCCAACCTCAGCAACCCAGCACGAGTCAAAAAACTCACCAAGTTCTTTGGTGATGAGCCCCCTCTGCTTCGTCTCTTCCTGAAGCGACTCGGGTACGAGGTGAGTTGTATGTTTTGCACTGCATGCCACCCACCCTTAAAGGACTTCATCGATTCCTGAGCCTCCAAACCCCAAGACCTCAAAGACCGTTTCGGGAACCTCTTATTCAAGAACACCTTGCAATTTCAAGTTAGCTCTTCAGTGGAATTACACTCTTGGAAATGAAATAATTTGAAAATAAAAGCACACCTTTACATGTAAATAATCGTTACTCAGTATTCTCATGTTGAGTAATTGAAATTTGTCAGTAAGCTTCACAACACCTATACCTTTATCAACAATCTTTGTGAGCGTCTTTCTCTTTCTTCAAAGTAGTTACAATAGAACATTCTCTTTTGCTATTGATTTGGAATTCATTTAAGAAAGCAGAATGAATTTTTTAAATGCTTTCCTAACTCTTTTTTCCTTGTAATGCATGTCTTACAAATTGCATCCAACAATGCACAACATTTTTAAAGAACCAAGCAATGTCCGAAAACCATTGGCAAACACAGAATCTGCACTAATTAAATAACCGTGTTGTATTTATGAGACAGCAGCAGTGCTGAAAATAAAGTATGATTTTATATCACCATACAACAGGATTTCTCAACCTGCTTCATGAGATACACAAAATTTAGTTTTGAAAGTAGCCAAAGTCAATTTAAATGGGCCACAAAAAGCATTCAAAAGTAAATTTGTATTAACTTTTGAATGCTTTTTGTGGCCCAACCATTCATAATCTAGAGTGAGTTTATTAGACAAAATATGTTTAAAATTGATTTAAGAGTTTATTTGTGAAATTTTGTGGTTTTCTGCCTGGACACCTGTATTGTGTATTTGTGTATATGCTAGGGCATCTCTGGCCAGATGGTAAGGAAACACATTGCCCCCAATATTTTCAAGTGCTTTAAGTACATCTAATCTAATTTCAAATGTTTCCTAAAGTGACTTTGAATATAATAATTTATCAATAATAGTTATTTATTTTATATTATTCAGATTGTCAAATGTTAACATTATGTTCATAAAAATTTTGAGCTTTTTACTTAGAAAAGTAAAATTGTATATTTGCACATACATTTGTTCCCACTAAGAGGGTATGTATACGCTGTTACAGAAATACGCGCCAGCCTTCGAACAAGAGAGAGTCGGCATGGTGGAACTGCCGTACCTGAGCGAGGAGCGCCTGCAACGACTGGGAGTGCCTCTGGGCCCGCGCCTACGGATCCTGCAAGAGGCGGCCGCGCACGCTGCCCCCATGGCCCCTGCACCTCCTCCCTCCAGCCACGCGGGCGCCAGCCGTGGAGACAAGGTCTATGTAGTGTGAGTAGCGTCGCCCCCCCTCCCTCCCATCCCTGCCCCTTCCTCTTGTCATTCGGTTGCTTCCAGAAATGCCCTTTGGGCCAAGCAAACGGGCCGACATGGAGTGCTGGGAATGGTTCCCTTCTGGGGAGTTTAGTATCCCCTGCTGTAAAAGTATAGCATGTCAGAAAAGTCTCTCTGCAGTGGCACTTTGTTGGTGAGAGTGCTTGCAACAGAAGTTATGTGGTAGCACGAGTTGCATTTTGAAAACACAAATTGCGAGCTCTCCACAATCACAATAGAAGATTGAATCACATGCTGGAAGTCATGTCTCCTTCACTTGTTTTCCAGTGATCTGGTTGCTACTTTCCTGGCACACTGTATTAATATCTCCTTTACCAGGGGTAAAATTAATCCCTATTTGACACCACATTTATAATATCAAATGTTTAAATAAAAAAATAGGAATGATGGAAATTTTACAAAAAAACATTTTTATGAGCTTTCTTAAGATTCATTCAGACAACTGCGTAAGAGGAGATGTTCTTTGTTTTACTCATCATTTCTTTGATTCTTCACTTCCTGAAATTTTGAATGCCCTCCTCTGAAGGAAATTACCAATTCAAAACCTTGATAGACTCCTTAGACACCAATTAACTTGGATTACAAAAATTTTAAAACAAGGTGTATGTAGTATGTAGAATTATGAATCTGCACGCAAAATAGTTCATTTAAAAAATTTTTAGTCTTTTTTAATGTTTTTGCAAAAATTGTACATCTATTATTTTCACATTTGAATATTCTCTAACTGTTGAATTACTGTGAGTTTTTGGTATCTTCGAATTACAAAGCTATGGAGTGTTAAGAAAGAAGAAAAAGGGTGGTGGGAAACGCTTATTAACACTACAATAAGATGAAGGAGGAGTGAGAGAGAGTGTGAAAGAGAGAGAGAGAGGGAGTGTGTGTGTGAAAGAAAGAGTGGGAGAGTGTGTGTGAGAGAGGGAGAGTGTGTGAGTGTGTTTGTATGTGTGTGTGATTGTATGTGTGTGTTTGTATGTGTGTGTTTGTATGTGTGAGTGTGTTTGTGTGAGTGTTTGTATGTGTGTGTGTTTGTATGTGTGTGTGCTTGTATGCGTGTGTGTTTGTATGCGTGTGTGTTTGTATGTGTGTGTGTGTTTGCATGTGTGTGTGTGTGTGTGTTTGTATGTGTGTGTGTGTGTTTGTATGTGTGTGTGTGTTTGTGTGTTTGAAAGAGAAATAGGGAGAAAGGGAGACCAAAAAAAATCGTGGAAGTAGGAATAAATGAACTGCTCTTTTCACCTGAAGTGTAATTTTCCATTTTTTCTTCTTTGCAAAGAGGAGGGAGGCACCAAATTAAATTTCATCCAGAGACAATATTTCATCCATCCACCAATATTTCAAAGGTTGCCACTGGTTTTTAACCACTCATAGACCAAATACTTTGAGCTTTTGGGAAGAACATAACTAAAAGGCATATCACATGAAAATTTCAAATAAGTCTCATTCACAATCCTAATTAAAATATAAAATGTTTATTTGCCATAAGCACAGAGTCAACACAAAAGGTATTTCACAGACAATCAAACCTTATTGTCACTTTCAGAAAATAATTTGAAAACAGACTGACCAATCTATGGCAAGAAAGAATACATAATATTAATTAATTAATAGTAAAACATAATAATGAAGTTTTAAGAATATTTGAAATAATAAATATATTCCTGTATAACAGTTGTTAATATTCATCTGTGTCAACCAGGATGTTGCCATAATAAATTGTTGGCTTTTCATTTGTTGTTTGTGACAATCAGCTTAAATTAAAAATAGATTTTGATCTATTTGTTTTCTTTTCTTTAATTGATTTTAAAGAGTACATGATTTGAATACTGTCCAGAGAGAGTCCTTTTCAATTGAAAGAAACATTGTTTACTTGTTTCAATTTTAATTATTTAAAATTTTTTTCTGTTATTCTTTAACAAGAATATGAAATGCACACATACAATTCCCCTACCGTACTCCAAAACTTTCAATCCTATATGATCAAAATAGTGCTTTTATTAGTTTGTCTAACCTTTGTTTTTAGAAGGTTTGGGATATTCTTGAAAGAAATCCCTTCTGAACTGCATTTATCTCTAAGATAAGATTACTCCATTTTATAATTTGAAATTGGCCCCAAAGAAATCATATTTATATTTCAGTATTATAGTTAAATTGATTCTATATATATATATTTAGCGTGAAATGTTTACCTGAAATGTTTGATTATGCTAAAAGACTGAGCAATATGGCAAATATTTTTGAATTATACATTTTTCTTAATGCAAAAAAATTTACTGAGGCATGCCCATCTCATGATATTGCTTGTGTTTGTGTGCATATGCACTGAAATGGGTTCTGTTAGTAGAAAGATATGCTGTGCCACATGAATAAATAATGAGTGTATTAACACAACTGTTCTGGTTCAGCATCAAAATTAATAATGGATAATGGCATTCTAATCTATGAGTAATATCAAAATTATTAACAGTTCCAGTTGTTATGTCATCTAAAAGATAATTAAGCCAAATTTGATATTATCTTGTTTATATTTATGAACCAAATGTATTTGAATATATTAAGCCACACTGATGATGAATTTTGTATTATTGATGTCTTTTTCCAGTTGTACACCTGTATTCATCTTGTATTCATAAGTTCAGCCTGCTGTTTTATGACTCCTAAAAATAAAGCATAGACAAATTTCCAAACGCTGAAGGAAGGTTTACAGTGCAGTCTAAATTTTTTTAAGAGCTTATTCCTTGAAATGGGTTTCTTTACTAATGCATTAGCCATAAATGTTTAACTAGCTAATTTAACAACTCTTAGTTAATGTATGGGATTAATGAAATAAAAACAGCAATACTTAAAATAGATTAAAAATTTCAATATTAGATTGAATTAATAAGTATTAGTAGCGATAAACTAATGCAAGATAAACTAAGCAATACAAAAGAAAGAAGAGAATTGAAATGTAAGAAAAAAAATGTGTATATAACTTAAAAATAAAATTTTGCTTTAAAAATTTTAGGAAAAGGCATTATTCTAAACATACTTTTTGGAAAAATTTAAATTTCATTTCAGATCACTTTTAATTGGTGAACCGATATGAACTGACCTTCATTGTTGGCTGATTATTGATTATTGCATGTGAAGTTGTTTTTTGTAACATGTACACTCATCCTGCTGTCTCCCTAGGTAGCCCTCCGCGCGGACACAGCAAAGCAGGCAGCGCGCGAGGCCACCGCAAGGGATCCCAGCGGCCGATGCATTAGGAACGACCAGTTCTACTCGGACAACTGAGGCTAACTGGTGTTCTGGCACCCGCAACAACAAACATGATCTGCCACAATTGCAGTGGCCTCCCAGCTCTAATTCACCTTATTATGTTTGATTGGTTTCTCTGTGTGCATGAAGCCTTTGTAATCAAGATGTGTTGTGAGTGAAACAGTTACATAAGGTACTTACTGTGGGAAGAAGACCAAGTGCGTGTTGAGCAAGACTGTAACACGTCTGACTAAGACAGATTTTGTTTAAGTCTTTTGCAATGATTTATTATTTTGATATTCAATTCAGTAATGGAACCATTAGGTGTATTTTAAACTATTTATGCACTTAGAGTCTGATACAGAATGAAGACAAGCTGAATAATTGTAGATAATTGTTTCAAATTTCTTTTGTACACCAACAAAGCAACTTGAAGTGTTGCTCAGATTGCTCAGATTATGTTCTTTCAATGTAAGATATGAATATATTTCTCACAATATTTTTTTAACTCTAGGGCAGAAATATTAAACCATTATATAATCATTAAACTCCTTTGAATTTGTTTCTCAACATAATGAATGTTGTCAAATTCTGCTCATTAAGAAGGGTAGTGAAGAGAGGCAATAGCATAGGCAAATTTTCAAAGGAACTTCTTCCCTAAATTACTGCCCTGCCAAACATTCGTGTTGGAAACTTTATTTTAATCTTGTTGTTTAAATTTAAAGATTCAGATCCTGAATGTTTCATCTGTTAAGTCGTCATGAACATAGTTAAAAATTTTATTCACAAATAGTTTCTTGGGTACCATAACTCACTGATGTAACTCCTTACTGGAGAAGTATCCTTTTGTTGGTGTAATTGCTTTAAGGGGAGGCATTGAGCCATACTCTCTCATGTTAATTTGGCTCTACATTTGAACCATTAGCTTACAAACTATTGAACCTAATGCTGTGAAATTTTAGGAGCAGCTTGGTAGAAATGTTTTAAGTAAATATAAGCAAATTTACATCTTTTGAATATTTTTTGTAAGTATTTGAAGAAAAAATCAAAATGTTTACATTATTTTAATGTACTTTTATGCAGAAATCGTGAAGTATGAAACTTACTGCACTCATTTTGCTGCCATATATTCTTTATTATTTAATTGACCTTCAAAAAAGTGAAAATTATCACTTAAGCAGTTTAAGAAATAATGGGAGAAATGTGTTAAAATGTGTCATATTTTAGAAATCAGCATGAAAGTTATTCCAACAAAACCTGAACATGACAACAAAGAAAACAAAACATGTTTGCCACATAAATAGACATAGAAAATAAGTTATGCAGTGCAAACAACATTAAAGATTAACTTTCCTCTAGCATTTAACAAATGCCAGAGCCTTCTAGATGAATTTGCTCAAAAGAAGAAAAGAGATTGTTTGTTCAAAAGATATGAGACCAAAACACCATTTTGATGCAAGTAGATGAAGGAAGAAAATAACAAAAAGCATGTTAAAAGAGTTTATTTTACATTGATGTAATATAATTTTATTTGGAAAACTGCAAACATTTAGAAAATGTTAAAATCCTAAAAATTCAGAGTTTGGCTTTACATTTCCCCTTAAGAAATATTGCTCTTTTCTAGAGAAGCTTGCTTGAAAAGTATCTGGAAAGTGAGCTGCAGGCTTAGTCAGGGGCTATGAGGGGAAAAATTGCTGTTTT